AATATCGTCTCGTTTGCGTGGCCGCTTCGTGGCGCGATCGAGGATCCCCTCGATAGATCTCTTTCCCTCCGCGTGTCAACATCGGTGGAGTTCAGTTTCTCGAGCTTGGTATTTTCGTTCGTGTTTGATTCGTGTTGGTTCTTGAATTGTTTTTTTTTCTTTTTTTTTTTTTTTTTTTTTTTTTTTTCCCTTGAGAAGATCGTCGATGCATCTTTTAATGTTTTCGATCGACGAGTAATATTGTATCTGCATTCGAAGATTATAATATCATATCGGTGGATGGAAAGCGGTATTGAACGTTCTCCTCTTATTTCGTTCGTGGTTGAAGAAAATTTGTTTTTAGATTCCTGGTGGTTTTGAGTTTGGATTTTTTTAATTTCGTGAAATTGATCGGATTCGAATCGATCGTTGCTGGAGAATGTAAATCGTGTGATTTTATTTCGAATTTCGTATCTGAAGATGAAGATCGTCGTAGATCATTCTCGAGTTTTAAAGAATTAATATTTATATCGAAATAGAGATCGACGGTGTTAGATTTCATCTCGAAGTTTGGATTTTCAAGGATGGGAATCTAAAGTATTCGAATCGAAGGAGTTTGTCGTGAGAAACCTGTGACCGAAGTGCAAAGTTTCCTGGATCTTAAATACATTTGAATATTGACTTCGACTGTGAAGATTTCGCTTCTAAAATCGGCGAGTGATCGTAGACGATTCGAAATAGAACCGCAGTTTAATCCGCATGAAATTTACATAAGTTTAATCTTACGACTTTTCAAGACTTCTAATCGCCGAAAATAGGATCTAAAATCATTTGTCGTTTGACAAACAACGCGCGAAACGATTTATCGAAATTCAATTGTTGAAAACGTAACAAAACCTGTTCGAATCTCGGAAAATTTAAATCCGAAACTTTTGATCGCTGCGATCGATAGTTTAATTCTCACTGTTCAATTTAAATAGACACCGATCTATTCTAACTTGATCTTGTCAATTTTACTTAAAGTAAATCTGAAAAATTTCCAATATCGAACCCGTTTATTAAATTAACATTTAAAACATTCCTCGAAACTCAATTTCAAAGAGACCGCAAAATCGTAATAACAATAATAAAATAATTGTAAAATTTTAAAACATCGCTCGATAAATCCTTCCCCCCCCCCCTCCCCAAAAAAAAAACTTCCACGTTTCAAGAATCCCATCACAGGAAAACCTGCCTAAACGAGAACCACAATTCGTTGCAATTTTACCAACATCTTACCAACTTCCACCGCCTCGACGAACTTTTCCATTAACAGGACGGGAACAAAGAGCAGCATCCATGCAGAATCCGTGAGAAAAACGTTGCAAATCCTTCGTTCTCCGTTATACCGCTTAATTCGTCAGGGAAAGAAGTCATTACGAACAGTTTCGATCGGTCGACACCGAATTAGAAATCGATAGGATCGAGGGGCATCGTGTTAAATTCCCCGTTGAAATTATAAATCCCGCGTAGACGATGAATATTTCATCGAAGGGAATACGACATATCCTCCCCAAGGATTTATAACGATGCGTGTGAATGGAATCGTTTCGAGACGTTTGACGAGAGTACCTGGTGAAACAGGGAGTGGAGGGTATGCAGGTAACGTTTGGAAACGAGTGGAAAGCGTAATCTAGATGTTTGACAAATGATAGCATACGCGTGTAGGGAGCGATATGTTGAGAGGGATTTCTCTCTTTTGTAGAGAGAGAAAGAGAAATCGTTGAAATTTTGAAATACCTTTTGATCGATAGAAAAATTTGTATATAGAGAGTTGAATGATTAATGGTAAATAAGAAGAGAAAGTGGAGAAGATGCGTGTAAGAAGAAATATCTGGATTTTGAATAAACATGATAAACGATTAACAAGCGATGATATGTTATAGAAATCGTCTTATTTCCGTTATAGATGTTATCAAGACTGAATATGGATCAAAGATTAGAGATTAAATAAAGACTGAAGAATTCGATTACGACAATAATAAATGACCTCTTGTTATAGAATATGAAAATGAGAATATCTCGTATTTGATAAACAAAGGAACGTATATAAAACGTTCGAGACGAGAATACACTGGAATTTCCACCAGAGAATTTCCCCCTCATCGAAAATTCTAAATCCAGTCAGGGAGGGTGATCGATGGGGAAGTAAAGATACGACGATAAATCTTTTGATCCAGGTGAAACAGAGGACAACGGAAGTGGAGGACAAGAGGAGTTACATTCGAAACTGGAATGGAAACTGCAATCTGGACGTTTGATAAACGACAGAGCTAGCAACGTTTCCACGGAAACGAGTCTTGCTTGCACTTGCAAAGAAAAAAAAAAAAAAAGAAGAAAAGCTCGTCGAACAAAAAAAATCAAAACGCTTCCAATCTCTTCGAAGATATCTGCCCTTGGAAAAAATATTCTAAACCGAAAAATACGATACGAGTCGACAATCAACGAATTAAGTCAAATCGCGATAAGATCCTCGAAGCGGAAACGGCATTCGAAGAGCGAGCTAACGAAGTAAGAAAGAAAGGAAAAAAGGAGATCGAAGCTTTTTCTAGATATTCCACCACTTCTCTTCTCGAGCGAATCTTTAATCTTAAGGAAGAAGCTGGAATCGGTTCGAGAGATCGAGCGGCTCGAAGAATCCCCCCTCCTTCGTGGACAATAATATTCGTTATCCGGCGTGTCTCCGTCACGTTTCGATGGTGGTTAAACCGGTGGTGAACGACGAAGCGTGACCAGGTGGCGGAAGTTCCGTTCTCACTTTCGCCAATCACTCGAGAACTGTCTCGGGGAGCATGACACGCTCCACGAATCCGTAATCACGATGGAAATAATATTTGGCGGGCAATCTGTGCCGTTTCTTTGAGCGAAACCGATCGTTGGAGAAGATTTTTCGGGGGAAGTTGAGGATCGATCGATCGAGTCGTACAATAAACTCGCATATATTTCGGGTGATCCCGTTTCGTTTTTCTAGGTTAAAAGGTGAAAGAAGAGGGAAGAATCATGAGGGATAAATTTGCATTCAGCGTGAGTACCGTGGAGATATTGGATTCTGCGTTTATTTTAGGAGGCGAGCGTGACATCGATGCTAACCGATCGATCGCTTTGTAGATGTATTTTCGAACCGTTGTAGCAGGCCGGGAGAATGAATTACATATAAAGCGTTCCTCGTAACCGTGTGCATTTTTAAGGGACGACGAGAGAGATACGGAGTTTTGAGACGGATGGGTCTGATTTTGTATTCACGGTGAAATGGAATTATCGGCGGAAGGTAGCCGGGGATAGTCATTGCAATTGTGTCACGCGATGAATCTATCTTATTTGCATAGTTTACTCTCGTGTCCGCGATATATCTAATTACGCCCTTTTCCCTTACCTTCCTTTCCTTTTCTTTTCTTCTTCCTTTTTCTTCCGTTGATTATCGTTTCACGAGATTTGAATTTTTAACTTTTGCCTTCTCGCGATATTTGTAGCACAACGAACGATCCTTCTTTAATGTTTCCCTCTCTTGGAGAAAGATTAAGAGTTTAATTTTTAATATTTCATTGGTTGTTTGATTTTTTTAAGTTGTGTATTACTTATTATAATGTTTATAAAAGAGTAATTGATCGATAGATTAGATTTTTATTTAAATTAAAATATTTTCTCTCCTTCGTATTTTATCATTCTAATTATCATCATCGTTGTTTTCTCTTGAAAAACCATCAAATGAAAATACACTCGAAAGTTCTCGAATAGGATAATATAATTCCATTTTACCGAGTAAATATTTTTCCTTCGCCTTCCTTTTCATCATCGTCTTCTTCTTAATAAATATTTCATCGGTGATAAATCTGGAAACGCTTCATCATTCCTTCCTTCCATAAATTAATAATAACAGTAAAAACATTTAGCTTATTATTCCACTGTCCATCAAAATCCATTTCACTTGTAAACTAAAATACTAAAAATTCTATTCTTAAAAAAAAAAAAAAATCGTCTCAAAAATTCTCCATGATGGAAATGTAATTTACTTTTCTTTGCATCGAATCATTGCGTTGAAATATACAAATTAATTCGATACCGTTGGAGAAAGTTTATCGAGGAGAAACGTTGCAATAATTACTCGTGGCGCGAAACTGGTTTTACGATTTCACACGTAGCCTATCGAACAGTGTTGATTACCATCGATTAAACGTATGAGAATTACATACGTATTAACGCGAAACGATAAAATAATACCGGTAAAACGTAAAGCAAGCTCTGTGAATTGTGAATACTCGTCTCGATTCTATATTTTATATTATATAATATAAGATAAAACCCAATAATTAAACTTGATAGGGGGGGGGGGATGATATTGTGCACACATGTATACATATTTGTTCGATACACATCGAGCAATTTCCGGCAACTAATAATTCCACGTGTACATATTTACAATTCAAACTCGTTCCGCTTATGATTTTATTTTTACGTAAGATCATGAATTTTAATCTCCTTTTTTATCATGCACGATGAATCGAGTTTCGAAATCCGTAAAACATGATCTTGATATTATTAATCCTTCTTAATTTATAAACTAATAGAAAAAAGAAAATAGATCTTTCTACTAAATGATTTTCTATTCGATCAATTGTATACATTTCAATATTCAACCCTTTCCCGTACAAATTAGCTCGACGAAATCCGGATCCAAGCAAGTAGAACACTTTGCAACATAGATTTTCTCGTATTGGAATAACAAGTAAATCTCGATTGAAAAAATTCATTCAACTCGTGCTATTCACGTTCGAGCAGAAATCTTCATCACGAGTCAGACCAGGGAAAGGGTTAATTAATGAAAATTCAGGATTGTCGTCGTATCTTTGTCCCAAAAAACAAAAATAATTTATCCTTCCGTAATGCAAAGGTTTACGTATCATCTATCTACACGTATTCCTGTGATCGCCATTAATTTCGATTGTTGTTGTCGTTAATTCGATTCTGAACAATGTGATTTACAGTCGGGGGTGCCGGACATGCACGAGACCCTGTCCAGTTTTTCGGAACAGTTCAGGGACGGGCCGACGAAGCCGGAAATAAAGCCGGAAGCAGCTAAGGAGAGGACGGCCGAGCCGAAGTGCGGTTGGTTCTGGTTCAGACCCAAATATTTGCAACGATTTCGAACCGCGAAATGGGCGCTGTTCTGGTTGTGCTGGACAGGCGCGATGCAAGGTATGCAATTTTCGAATTTGTCATTCACAATTTTCATTCGCTCGGGGAATTATCGAGACTTTCTTTTTATTTCGAACAATGTTTCTCAAACTTCTCGAGAAACATTTACACGATTCGCCCAAAATGGTCGAAAACGTTTGCCGATCAAACGTTTGCGAAAACCGGTTAACACTAAACCTACCTTTGCAAATTTCTTGTATACACGAGTTTACAAAAGTGGCAGAAAATTCGGTGTACATTTTAACCGATCACACATTATTGTAGCGCCAGAAAAATATTTTGTTTAATATCCAATTAGCTAAAATCTTTCCATATTAAGATACAAATTTGATCGCTCATGGTGGGAATAGGTATACACGAAATGTCGGTAGGTTTAGCGTTAACGTCGATCGTTTCCCCTTCTCAACCCACGGGTTGATTTTTCGTAAACACAGCTTGAGCAGAGCTGATCGACTCTGATATCGCCGTTACTAATAGCCGTGCATTCGAATGCAATTTCGAAGCTTTCACGGTGGCGCGAAGGGGGTGGAAAGGGGGTGGATCGAGGGTGACTGACGATAACCGGAAATCGAGTTTTCCGGGCCGGTGGCAGGAGGTTGACGCGGTGGAGGGTGGCGAACGTCGACGAAAGGAGAGCGGATCGAGACGAAGGTCGTCGACGTTGGATAAAAGGGGTGGAGAGGAAAGGTTTCGAACACGGTATTCGGTTTAAATAAGTTTGTTCGCCTCTCCTCCTCCCTCTACTCGGCCGACAAAAGAAATCGTGGCGCGGAGCCTTCGTGCCTTCTTCGAGGCGGACGGGATTGAACAAATTGCTGGACAATGGAGCCGGCAATCGTCTGTACGTAAGTCGAGAATAAGGTCGGTGGTGGTCGTGCACGCATGAGAATTCGGATGTTGCCACGAGTGTTTCTCCTCTGGATTTAAAACGTTTTTTCGGTATTTTGAGAATTGGATTAAGGGAAGGAATGATTTTTCTTGAGATAAAATAGATATGTTTTAAGAAAAATTCGAGGAAAAAAAAATCTCCTGCCATTTTCAACGTTCGAATAATTCTTCAACAAAACGTCCGATCTTTTTTGGAATACATTTACCAAATTAGAGAGGACTAATTGAAAATTATCTTCTATATATGCGTTACACGTATTCGCAAGTATCGTTCCAATCCCTGTTGAATCATAATCGTCCGTCCTCGGCCGACCAATCGATCAACGTAAGAAGAAGCGAGACGCAAAAACCGTAGGCGCAGAGAAGAAGAAGAAGAGGGAGAGTCGGCCAGCAGCTGGAGAAACAAATTATCCGCGCTGCACGACCGGTTTTAATTAAAATTCTCCTATTAGCGGTACAACGGGAAACGAAGGTGGTTCATTTTCCGGGTGGACAGACACACCGGATACGCCGACACTCGAGCAGGCCTCTTGCTGGCCACGGCCGTCTGTGAACGCGTTAATTCGATGGACGTTGTAAGGTCGGTGTGGGAGGGACGAGTTAAGAGCGTTACTTAATTGTTCGAGGTGCAGTTTGGTTATCTTGGGCTGCTAGTTTGTGGGAAGAAATTGGTTTTCGCGGTAGCTTGGAGTGGTTTCGGCTCTCACGTCACGTTTTCAATCGGATCGTTTAAATAAATAAATAGAAAATATGTTTTTTGAAAACGGTGTTTATATTAGAAGTTTCGTACATTATTTCTCTTCTCTGCTCATCAAAAATCATATGAAAATGCGTAATTCTTAAGTATTTGAGTAAAAAAATATAGGCTGCAAAGGAAATGAATAAAAATGAAGTAATGTTTCATTCGTGGAATGGAAGATTAGTATTAAAAAAACAAAATTTCGACACTTATTGAATAATGGTATATAAAATAATAATATCTGAAAATCATTTTAGGTCTATTTTATATTTAATGTTAATGGTCGAACTGAATTAATTCCATTTTATATTTCCTTGTTTATACGATTTATCGATCACGAGTCGATCGAAATATCCAATAATACAACACGATGCTTCCAAAAACTTAAATAATTACCATTCCACACGATCTGAATCCAAAAGATGAGAGACAAAATTTCTGTTCCCCGTTAAAAAAGAATAATTCCACTTTTTTTTTTTTTTCCTCCTCCCACCAACCGTAACCAATCCTCTCGTTAAAACGACAACCCCGGCGGAATCCAAGCATCAAAAGGGATCCGCGGAAACCGTCGCAACCGAGAGGATTCTCCCAGAGAGAAGATTCATTTTTTCGATTGTCAGAGACGGTTGAACGCTTTTGTCAGACGATACGAGGCTGGCTTGTAATTCGACGCCCTGTCAACGCCTGCCTCCATCGTGTACAGGAGCCACGGTTCGATTCAGAGGCGATTAGCAGCCGTGTATATTCGTGAGAAAGAACTGTTTAACAGATTTGCAGGTTCGAGAGAGAGGGTGAGCGGGACACCGGGCCACTAGGGGAGACTTAATTGAATTAGTTCACCCCCCCTTCTTCCGATTCATTTACACGCGGCACGCGGATTTGCTCTCGAGTACGCGTAGTATCGGGGATCAACTGTGTTGATTCGAATTTGAGAATGGGGATCGAGTTATTATTAGGATGGCCCGAATATTCGTATCGATCGTATCCTGAATGTTTAATGTTTGGCCAGGATCGATGGACAAGCCGAGATAGTATCGATTGTGACGGCGATTGTTAACGTTACTACGATCTTATCGATCCAAGCTTTAGGCTCGTTTGAGGTTGAATTTTTTTGATGGGAAGCTAGAGAGGTTCCTCTAGCTATTGGAGATTAAATTAAATTATTCGTTAGTTCGATAAGCGAGCTTTTAAGTAAATTAATTCAAGTTATTTCAAGTTAAACATGATGATGATGATACAGGAATTGTGGATTCATCGTGGATGCTAATGGATAAAAATATTTCTTGTAACAATTGGTCGGAATTTTGCTCTAATACGTAGATGATACGTATTTTGTTTTCAGGGATGGTGGTGAACGGTTTCGTGAACGTGGTCATAACCACGATAGAAAGGAGATTCGGGCTGAGGTCGTCTCAGACAGGGCTGATAGCAGGCGGATACGACATAGCCAGTTTCCTTACCCTCGTTCCAGTCAGCTTCCTAGGAGGACGCTCGAAAGCATCGAAACCGAGGTACATATGCGCTCCAACGCGTTACGTATATTCGCGTATTGTCGCGCCTATTAATATTAATACCGATATCGATCCACCTCGACACTTCTCATAAATATTAATCCCTAACGTCAGCCGGACCAACAGCGTCAATTTCCATTCCCAGCTCCTTCGCTTCGACACTTTCGAAACCCTCGATCCTTGATCGATAATATCATAATAACAGTTTTGAACATTAAACTAAACGGGGCTAATCTCGAAAATGAAACATAATTATTATTCTGGAAAAAGAAAGGAGATTCGGGCTGAGGTCGTCTCAGACAGGGCTGATAGCAGGCGGATACGACATAGCCAGTTTCCTTACCCTCGTTCCAGTCAGCTTCCTAGGAGGACGCTCGAAAGCATCGAAACCGAGGTACATATGCGCTCCAACGCGTTACGTATATTCGCGTATTGTCGCGCCTATTAATATTAATACCGATATCGATCCACCTCGACACTTCTCATAAATATTAATCCCTAACGTCAGCCGGACCAACAGCGTCAATTTCCATTCCCAGCTCCTTCGCTTCGACACTTTCGAAACCCTCGATCCTTGATCGATAATATCATAATAACAGTTTTGAACATTAAACTAAACGGGGCTAATCTCGAAAATGAAACATAATTATTATTCTGGAAAAAGAGATTTTAGTAAATCGAGGATATCGACGACGTTTCGTTTGATTTTTGAATGAAATTTTTGGAAAATTTTTAGACTCGTGTGTTAATTTTATTAGTAAATAAGAATAGATTTTTGTAAATCGAGGATATCGACGACGTTTCGTTTGATTTTTGAAAAATTTTTAGAAAATTTTTAGACTCGTGTGTTAATTTTATTAGTAAATAAGAATAGATTTTTGTAAATCGAGGATATCGACGTTTCGTTTGATTTTTGAATGAAATTTTTGGAAAATTTTTGCACTCGTGTGTTAATTTTATTAGTAAATAAGAATAGATTTTTGTAAATCGAGGATATCGACGTTTCGTTTGATTTTTGAATGAAATTTTTGGAAAATTTTTAGACTCGTGTGTTAATTTTATTAGTAAATAAGAATAGATTTTTGTAAATCGAGGATATCGACGACGTTTCGTTTGATTTTTGGAAAATTTTTGGTTTCGTGTGTTAATTTTACTAGTAAATAAGAATATAAATTCTTTTGAGAAGTTAATTAAAAACAAGATATTTGGATTAATTTTTGTTCTATAGATACATAGGAATAGGTGTTCTAGTGTTAGGCTTAGGAAGTCTCCTTTTCGCGTCCCCTCATTACATTGCTGGACCATACAGGGGTGGCCAACAGTCGGAAAATATTTGTCAAAGGGTGACGAATACGTCCTCCCGTTCGGTAAGTGATGATTGATTTTAAAGATTAGCATTTTCTGCTAATCTTCGTAACGATTGTAGAGATTTGAAAAAAATTTTTCGAAAAATATCAAAAGGAGGTAAGCATAAAAATAAACATTGGACAGATTATTAATCCGGAATAAGTTGTTTCGACGAGCAACTTACTTGTCTTTTTAATTATAATTATTTTATACATTTTATTAGCCGGGCTCAATTACTGGAAGACTTGTGTCTTTGATCTTTGAAGAGTAAACATTCAATTAGATGTAAAGGATAGTGACAGAGTTTACGGATCTCGTCCTTTGTAAAAGCAAGATCCATGCTCTCACATACACTAATAGAATGTCATCTTCGTACGAATGCCTCTTATTAATTTAAAAATATAAATCACCGAATTAATTCCAATTCTTATTTCGAATAATTAAATTTAAAAAATATAATGATAAAAACTGAAAAAAATTTTTAACCTAAAAAGATGGAATTTCGCTTTATTAAATTTGTAAGAAAATCTTCGTGATCGATCAAAAACTTTGTAAACTTTTTCCTTGCAACAAAAAAAACTATATCGACAATAACACAAACAATATTTCAAACCAACCAAGCTTTTTCTTTTTTTTCAAATTCCAATAAAGTCTCGTATTTTAAGAGAGAAAAATAAAGATATTTTTAAAAAATCTTGGTTCGTCTATTAATTAAATTAATCTCGATTGGTTAACGTATCTTTGCCATTCAGCTATCTTGTAGCGGATCAGTGGGCCAAATAGACCAAGAACCGTACAGTGGATTGTACTTAAGTATCTTTCTGATAGCTCAACTTCTACACGGGGCTGGTTCCGCTCCTTTTTATACGCTTGGTGTTACGTATCTGGATGAGAACGTGTCGAAGAAGATGTCCTCTGTGTATGTGGGTAAGAGTTATTATTCAACTCAAATATCCTTGGCAAAATATTAATTTTATATTCGTGGGAACATATTTATTAAGCGTGTTGTTTAATTAAAAAAAATGGGGAAATATCGAATTTTAAAAGACAGGTTATTCCATTCGAGTATGTATATAACTTTTCTTATTAAAAAGATCCAAGTTCTCTCAACATAAAATAAGCTAAACTGTGTTTTCAACTGTGCTGTACCTACTTGACAAGCACTTGATTCAACTTGGATATCCCGCAATACCTCTTTGACAATTGTCACGTTCTATTGCCGCACTCGTTGCGCTTGCTTCAAGTTTTCAGCACTGTATACACACTTTTGAAGTTTGAAGTTTCAAGTGTCATCTTGTATAGGACAATCAACTTGTATAATTGATGTTGTATTGAATTTAATTGTTCAAGAAATTTGAAATTACGCTTTATGCCCTCTTATTATCTTTGTATATTAAAATCTACAGAAATCTATCTTTCAACGTTTAAAAATTTTTTATTTATAAAATTAAATTCCTGCATGATAATAAATGGTTGTAATATTCGACGAGTGTTTTAACATTTTAATTTGCATTAAATTGTTAAAACGTTTCGTACAAACGATTTCTAATAATCCAATGTCCTTCTCTGTTTAGGAATCTTCTACACAATGGCCATAATAGGGCCTGCGTTAGGATACGTGGTTGGAGGTGAATTGTTGAAGCTCTATACAGATTTTATCACCGTGGATCCGTCAAAGTGAGTATTTTTCTAATTATACTTACACAGCATGCTTTCAGAATAATTTTTCAAAATTAACATTTAATGGTTGGATACAAATATAAGAATACTGTACTGTAATATAAAACTGAAATTTGCATTGTGTGCACAAATTCTTCTCTAAAAATTCACTACAATGATTGAATACATCATTATTCATTAGTGTCCCTATTTTTGGAAAAATATTCATTGCTCGTAACGACATCAATCAACTCGAGTTTAATAAAATTGGCTGGAAGAAAAATCAGGCAAGGATCACTGTTTAAATACCATCTCCACAAAACGCCATCAAGGAAATCTTGAACGTTTCTTCTTCGGATTTTTCCTTTTTACAATTTCCTCGCGATTTTTCAGGCGCGCTACAGGAGAACGAATTGTTGTCGATTGCATGTTGACTAGGAGATGGACTGTCACAATTAGAAAATCGCCCCTAAAAAATCGTTGCTATAAGTCACGAAAAAGTATCAAAGACCATTTTTAAATCGCGAAACGAGTCTCAAATCGATCGAGTTTAAAATAGGGGGAAAAATATGGAAAAGTGGGGAAAGGAGGGAAGAAAAATCCATCTGTGGAAACTTTTAAACGTAAGATTAAAATTGCGGAAGGGATCCATCGCGGAGGAAGAATCACGGTGGATGGACAATGGATCGAAAGTTGTCCGCGTTCACTTCGCCGTAAAGAGGGTTCATAGCCGGCGAATGCCGATGGAGAATGACATTTAATGGGCGCGGCATCGGAATTTGTCGCCTCTCGTGTCGCCACGCGTTTAAACACGTTTCCCGCTTTTTCCTTCTGCGGGGGAGGGGAGGGGAGGGGGAGGGGGGGGGGGGAGATGGGCCGCGGTAACTTTATTAAATTCTCGACGCGATTTATCGGCTGTTTCGTCCGGCTATCCGGGAGGACAGATATGTGGTTGCCACTGTGCATTACTATTTATCATTGGTGGACCGTTTAAGGGTGGAAATTTACAACGTGCAGGATAGTTTATTATCATTATTGTTATTATTAGAGACCAACAAATCTTCCAGATCTCATTATCGTTTTTCAAATGAATATTTTTGGAAAATTTTCGAAACTGTATTAAGAGAAATTTACAACTTGCTTCCTTAATTTCAATAATGATTTCGATGAATAATACATAAAACACCGATTCAAAGGATAAAATGGAAAAAAATCTGCTGCTACGTGTAACTGTGACAGAGGACATCTTTCTCATTATCGTTTTTCAAATGAATGTTTTCGAAACTGTATCAAGATGGAAAGAAAAATTTACACATTGGTTCCTTAATTTCAACGAATATATAAAACACCGATTCAAAGGATAAAATGGAAAAAATCTGCTGCTACGTGTAACTGTGACAGAGGACATCTTTCTTATTATCGTTTTTCAAATGAATGTTTTCGAAACTGTATCAAGATGGAAAGAAAAATGTCCAACTTGATTCCTTAATTTCAACAATTTCGATGAATATATAAAACACCGATTCAAAGAGAAAAAATCTGGTGAGGAAAAACACCGTTATCAACAAGCCTGCTGCTACGTGTAACTGTGACAGGTACGGAGGAAACTCGCGTGTTCCAGCCGAACAGGCGACATCCGGTGATATCCGCAAACACGAATGAATCACATTCGCCCGGAGCATATTCCACGCGCGTCGTGCGCGAGAAAATTCGAACTTTATATTCGTCTTGTAACCCGCATAAATCCTGCTCTCTGAAATTAATCGCGAAATCTTGAGGACAAGGCTCGAAGAGATGGAAGGGAATAATGAAAGATTGCCACGGATAAAAATTTCCCTTGCGAAATTGCAGGAAAAAGCGGGAAAAGAAGAGAAATTTTCGATGTCTTGTTTTCAAACGATGAATTGAGATGGACTTCAGGTTCGATTCCTTTTTGATTATCTTCGATTATTTTCCACGTGTTTTCGCTAAAAATATTCGAAGATTCCATATTGGAATTACGCGTAATTTCGATAGTTTTTAACAATGTCGATGATGCTTGTACAGCTCGATATTAAGTAAGCTTGTTTCGTGGCAAATATTGCTTGGAACTGGCGAGAAATATCGATATCACGCTCGTTACTATTATCGAATTAAGGTTAGAGTTGATACAACACAGGCTATCGGATTTTTATCATCTATTTTTGCTGTTTCACGGCCTTGAAAAGACGCCCCGCCGAAGATATGCGCGCCGTTGCGATGGCGAAAGCGTTGTCAGACGCGTTTGCAACGCTTAATTACCGGCTTCTTAGTCCTCCTGCTAACGAGCCACACCGATCTTCTTTTTCGAGCATACGCGTATTAATTAATCTGCTATCTTTTTTTCAAAGCAGAGGATGGATTCTTTTGATGAAATTCGAGGACGAGGAAAATTTTTAACCGAAGATTAAATTTAATCCACCGACGAAGTATTAAGATTTTTAATTATTTAATTAAAAAACTGGATGCACGCAATGTATCAATGTTTCGAGAATTTGTTGCGATTGAAAAGCAAAAATCACTCTTCTTTCGTATAAAATTTATTAAAGTTTCTAATTTAAAATTAAACACCGGGTACTAATTTATCCAATTTTATTTAACATCGATTAAAAAATTATTATTTCAACCCGAAACAGTATAGAATGAAAATACAATTTACGATATAATTTCAAAGGTACTTTTCCCAAATTAAAACGAGGATGTATTCTACCGCAAATTCTAATTACTTATCAATCGACGGCGCGACAAAAATAACAACAACAACAACGACGACAAGACACGCACGCGACACAATCGAAACACGAAAATGTACAATCGTTCAAATCTTTGTCTCGGAGAGTCTCCTCCCGTAGAAAATATCCCGAAGGACCATTAGAGCGTATAATGGGCCACGATTAATAGCGCATGTAACCCTCCTCCCCCATAGGCGCGCGTGCAGGAGAGGAGCACGAAGCACTCGTCCCGTGGGGAAAATGTCAAGCGGTGAACCAATGTTTGACGATGACGCCGATGTTACCCTTCAAAACTGTCACTTCATCCCCCGACACTTAGAGTACAATCAAGTTCCATTTGTCCGCTCGCCTCCCCACAGACCCGCGCCCCTCCACGCGAGAATCGAATTAATCTCGTCTCTCCTTTTTCTTTTTTTTTTTTTTTTTTCCGTTGGCGCGCAACGAGTCGTGTAAAAGAATTTTCAACGTCCTTCCGAGATTCCATCCTTGCGAATTTTACTTTTAAATGGCCGGATATCGATTTCGAGGTACGATATCCGGTTGGGTATCGTGAGCTGAAATTTCTATTATTTGTTTTTTAAGTCGCTTTGCCGTCCCTAAAATTATTAATCAGATATTTCTTTCTTGTTTGTTTCGGATAAAGAAGATGGGATTTTGATTCGAAAATTTGTAAATGAATTTTTTATTAGTGATAGAACATTCGAGAAGAGTTTGATCTCGCGTATATTTCGATATTTCGAAAAGGGGTTGAAGTATCGATAGAAGAAGTAAGAGGAGATTGATGGATATCACGAATAAAATAAATAAAGTTGGATTTATTTGAGAGAATTTGATTGCGCGAAATTTTTTACACGATTCCATTTATGAAATTATTTTAATTGATTTTAAAAAGCAATTTAAAAGCATACGCGAAAACGCGTATTCTTTATTTTATTCGATTCAATTTCAATACTTTTACGTTTATTGCGATACGCGTTAAACGAACAAAACTGTATCAACATTAAAAAAAAATAGCTTGTTTTAAATGATATTTATTTTATCATCAATATCGTTGTTCCTCTCGACCAAGTTTTTTAATTCGAAGTTTATTTTCGAGGAATAAGAAAGCGCGAAAAAATAAATTTTCCCTTTTTTTCCCCCTTTTCTTTGTTTCCACTTTTGTCTCCTGCATCGATTAAATGCCTCAAAACATTTCGCGAGCAATCATTTTCCCTCTATTTCTTTTCTCTGATTAATAAATCAGGCACAGCCTGTGTTCCCTTCTTGAAGCTCGAGGAGAAGAAATTATTATGGCAACAGTTTACATCAAGAACGACAAAAGAAAGGAGAAAGAGAAGATGAACGGGGAGGGGGGAACGCAGATGGAGGAAGAAGCGGTGAGGACGGAGAGACTGAAATTAAAAGTCGAAAGGATTTCCCTTCGCATTTCACGGTTAACTGGGTTTACGAAGGAACCGAGTGGACATCAGTAAATTTAGAACCCTTGCAACTTTCTTCTGAAAGTTTATTCCACTCCTAGAAATGAATCGATGTAAACACGGTGGAGAACATTTTTTGCGGAATTTCGAACGATCCCAGTTGGAAGCATTTAATTAATAAACTTTTATTCTTTTTCCCTTCGAAAATTTTGTGAAATTATTTGGAATTTTTCTGATCTAACGGTCGTTCGTATTTTTCTTTTTACCTTTTTATTCTCTTTTTTTCTCGATAGAAAATAACGAAATTCTCCTCTTTTAAATTGCACGAAATGAGGAATTTAGTAATTTATTCGATATCGATAAAATTGATTATTAAAATTGTTCGTTGTTGCTTCCACCGTCAACATCGAAAAGCCACGAATGTCATTTAAAGACGAGTTACTATGGGAAAGTGGGGAAAAACGAGAGAGAAAAAGAGGGTAAGTGAAGGGCTATTCCTTGCCGGTATAGTGTAGTTAGTCTGCTAAGGGATGATCGCGCAGTTAGTCAGCCGTTTCCGGGCAATCAATCACCTCGTCGAGGTTTTACCAGGGAAAAAATGAGATCCATTGGCCTTGGTAACTTTGATGAGGAAAAAAGTTACGTAAAGCCAGGAATATTGTGCCTCGTCGATCGATAAAACATCCTTGTCCGTCATATCGAATCGATTCAACGTGAAATATTATATCTATCGAGTAAACAAGATAACTCGATCATTTTGAACATCTTAATTGATTTTAATAATACGAAAGAATGTTTCGAATAAAAATTGAAAAGTCGAAGAAAGTATGATCTTTTGAGGACACGAATTATTTTCAAATATGATATCGTGTGATATTTAACGATAGTTAATATTATGAAACATGTTGCTTCGTATATCTATAAAAATTTATATTCAATCGAAAATTATTGGTATAGAAGATATTTCGATGGAACCATTGTTCTTAAATTTTCATCGCTATTCTAATTAAAATTAATCGAAACAAGACCTCATATATTTATAGAAATTTATCAAAAAAGTTTATCAAATTTTCCTCGCCAAACAACCTCCTCCATTAATCAAACAACATTCTTCACCCTTCAGGATTAACCACTTTGGCGATAAGAGGCCCCTAATCCTCAATTTAAAATTCGATTATCGTAACGGCGAAAGTTTAAAGGCTGTCTCGCAACAAGGTTTATCGAGATTTCCAAGCAAAACTTAAATTGCGTGTCGAAGCAGGCGCACAATCCGATAATTTGCAAACAGAGAGAGAGAGAGAGAGAGATACTTTCCTTTCGCGATCTTTTGATAAAACTAAACAGAGAAACGAACGGAGAGCTAATAACATTTCCCGCGAGTCCAATTACATTTCCTTCCACTATTCCGGTCTACGAAGCCGGAAGCAAGGAAAAGAATGGGGTAACTAGTTGCATTACGGCCACTTCCGGTTACGAGCCCGCCTCTCCCTGCATGCACGCGCCTCATTTAATTTAGCCGGACCAAGATTCGACGGTGGACAGTGGTTATTTCGAGTAACTTGGATACTTTTTCACAATTTTCCGCTTTTCCACCATCCCGAGATTATTACGCTGTAATATCGCGATTCTGAGAAGAAATTTCCCGGTTATGCTCCGCGCGATGATGACGGCGATGTAATAGAGGATGATGAGCGACTAGGATCGAAGGATATTGCGTTCGTCGTTTTGGATACGTAGATGCCGCGTTTTTATCTTCATATTTATAAAAGGCACATGGAAAGTATTGTTCGATCGCTAGATTTTTAACGTTCTTTTGCAAAATTCTTTGGAAACTTCGTTCAACTTTTTCGTTAAAACGAAGAAATAAAAGTATCTAGAATCAATAGAAAATAAATATATATTCTACGAAATGAAAATCTTCGTCATCCTCTTTCTACGCATTTTCTCCTAAAACTAGAAATTTTTCCTCGATATCGCCGAGGAAAAAGAAAAGCTAACAGAAGCTCTGTAACCGGCAATTAGTCGGAAAAGTTGCAGAAGCTCGGCTCGGTAGGGGATTTCTCGCAATTAAAAAATCGCGGCGAGATGCGCCGGAAGTTCCGCGACGGTGGAGCAATTCCGGCCTACTCACCGTGTTGTACGAACTATCCGCTCTACTGTTGCGGGATAATTACATTTTTACCCTGGCTATATCCTTCCCGGCTCTTATTTGTTTTACGCGGCCTACTTTAAAGCGTTTAAAAAAGATAGGGTTGACCCGTTTCGCGATATTAGAGACGCAGCCCTCTCCACTTGTTTTCGTTTAAATATTGGTAAATCGTAGATTGATTTAACGTGGAGATCGACGGAGTCTTATTGAAAGAATTTTTACGTCACTTTTCCCTTATTTTGAAAAGATAGAATTTCAAAGATTAAATATTTAAAGAGGTATATTCTCAAAGTGGATAACTTTGAGATGTTCACAATTGAACGATAAAACATTTGCCATTATTAATTGAATTTAAACAGGGATAAATAATAAAATAAGAAACATGGATTTCATCTTATTCAAATTTAAAAACGTGATAATATATCATAGATATATAAAGTAATTTTTGAGAATAGAAATTTTTTATAAGAAACCTAATAATCGTTAATGAATATTCCTTTTTTATTCACGACTCTATCCGACTTGCAAAAGTGTTTGTAATAATTCAACGAATCAATTTCCAGGATTGGCTTAACACCAAACAGCAACGTATGGGTGGGAGCATGGTGGATAGGCTTCCTAGCTGCTGCAGTTTTATGTTTCATAATCGCTATACCCATCTTAGCGTTTCCAGCAGCTTTGCCTGGTAATTGAATTGTAAAAATATTTTACAACACACACTATTACATAATAAGATTACCATTCTTTAAATTATCGTTTCAGGAATATCTAATGCACAATTACACTGAAACAATACCAACAAAACTTTACAATTTTCCACTCAAAAATTACACTCCTCTCGACAATCATCCGGATAACCAATTGTTCAAATAACAATTCTATCCACACAAGTCTACACGAATAAATAACTCTTTTCCAGGTTCAGAGAAATTGGCCAAAGAGAGGGTGTCAGAGGCGCACCAAAGGAGCACCAGAAAGCAATCGTCCTCGAGCGATCGAGGAGAGGCATTCTCGAAAATACGAGAACTGCCTCGCGCCCTGACCGATCTCCTCGGTAATCCTGGCTTTTTCATGTTAAATCTGGCAGGTGCCAGTGAAGGATTGCTTATCGCCGGTTTCGCCGCTTTCCTCCCCAAACTGATCGAAAATCAATTCAACGTCAGCGCTAGTTCCGCCGCGTTACTAATGGGTGAATAATATTCAAGCATTCTGTTGTAATCAATCAAAGAAAGAAAGAAGAAGAGAGGGGAAAAAAAAAAAAGAAACAACCTTGCCTCTCGTCAATCGTAACGCGTAATCATCGACATATTTCGTCGAATACGAAACATTTTTTACCCCTTCTCTCTCTCTCTCTACAATCTGTTTCTCTTACTCCTTTTCGTTAAAATATCGACTGAACGATATGTTACCGTCAGTTACGTCGCACGTATGTCGCCAGGTATAAATCATCCTCGACGTTTTTATATTTCGTATGGGATATTTACGATTGACTAATGTTTCCACGTAATTTCGTGAAATTTCGACAGGGCCGAGAGGAACACGCTGTTCGAAATGGCAATCCTTCATCCTCATTTTTTTTTTTTGCTTACAGGTTTGGTGACCGTACCCGCAGGCGGTGGAGGCACCTTCCTCGGTGGTTATCTCATAAAGCGTTTTAATTGCCCTGCTCGGGCATTTTAAAGTTTTGTCTACTGGCCACCGCGTCCTGCATCGCCTTCACTTTGTGCTTCGTTCTGAATTGTCCGAATTTAAGCTTCGCGGGAGTCACTATACCTTATTCGAACCAGACCAAGTACGTGATTGTATTTGTACATGTGTGTGAGCGCGCGAAATTCTGTTTATTTGTAAAAGTAATTTCAACAGTATAAAATTGGATGTTTGAAACTATTACGGCTAAAATTTCTGGGAAAATATGTCACTACTTCACGAATTTGCATGATATTTATCGAGTATTATCGTGTTTTATTTCATTTTTCCTATGGTCTCTGTGACTTTATTCGTTTTCATTTATACACACAATAGATCTTCGAGTTCGTATTTGCTGATATTAATTTTCATTATTTTTTTTTTTTTTTAATAATAAAACTCCATATTTATCTGAAAATTGGTTTTAAATTAGTTTAAAATTGAAGTATAAATATAATTCATATTATTCATATATTAATTGGAATTTATCCATTTTTCTTGCTATATATCGATTTCTTTTTTACGTAAGAGAAATTCGCGTTCATATAGGTGGTTTCTAATAGTGTATTAATTAAAACTTCATTCAAATAATAAAGTTTCATATATAATCACTTTTGTAAAACGAATATATTTCATAACAATTACTATTAATTCACTGCTTCATTTTATTGAATGATATTTCTAATACTTGAAATCTATTTAAGTAAATCAATTCACTATTTTGGATAAAAATCAAAAAATGAAAAGAACTAGAAACTTAATTTAGAAACTTAAAACAAGTAGATATATATAACTGTACCATTGTATGTGATAAATTCCAAGATGCAAATAAATATCTATAGTATAAGTAAAAAATTTCATATTTACAGAAAAACTTTTTCATTGGATAACACGTGTAATAATGGCTGCGGTTGCTCGAGATCAGAATTCAGTCCAATATGCGGAGTTGATGGAATCACGTACTATTCTCCTTGTCACGCAGGATGTTATCAAGGAATGCGACTAAATAACGTCGAAGTCAGTATTTCTTATCGTACTTAGTATGCATGCTTGTGAAAATCTAGTCCATTTCTTGAAATCATAAAATATATATTTTTCTTAACCTTTGCCATTCCAGTGCTATATATATTTTATAAAAATCTACATTCATTGCAAATCGAAAATAAATATATATTCAGTTAAAAACTATCAGTCATTAAATTAAAAAAAAAAAACAAAGCTTGATACCGATTATACGTCAATATAATCATACTTATAGACATTACATTTTATCATAAATATTTATTTTTCTTTGAATTAAATGTTGATATTTTTCCTTATTGTTTTACAGATATATACAGACTGCACGTGTATACGAGCACCACCAATGAATCTAACTACTGCAGATAGTGTGATTACTTACGAGGCAATAAATACTACTTGCAGCACATCGTGCTCTTATCTATGGCCGTTTATCGCTCTAGCATTTTGCAACATGTTTATAACCTTTCTTTGCACAATGCCCGCACTTTCCGCAACACTTCGCGTCGTTCGAGACGATCAGAGATCGTTTGCCTTAGGTATACAATGGATCAAAGTTAGAATTCTAGGCACAATACCAGCACCTATGGTGTTCGGTGCTCTCATAGATGAAACATGCATTTTATGGAACAAAACTTGCGACGGCGAAGGATCCTGTCTTGTTTATGATAATTTATACATGAGCAGGTATGATAAAATTAATTATTAATTTGAATCTTTAAATCGTGTTAAATACTTTCGAATTTGTGTTACTTATTCGAAAAAATTATAAAATAAAACTACCTCCATGCTTGATTATTTTTATATCTATAAAAATCGTTCCACACTTGATTGTAGCGTCCTCTATAATTTCATTAATGGCCGCTAAAGATTAGAACATTCATTGAAATAAAATTGAAATAAAAATGGCGGTTTTAACCATTTTAGAATTTAACATATTTATTAATTTATAATATTTTGTAATGCAACTATTACTATTTGTATCTTGATATAAGAATTATAATAATCGAGTTGTAAACTATATTATGTTTTTATTAAAATTTCATCATGCAAAATCACTTCAGGCATTTATGATCATGCAAAAATCAATGAACATACCTTGTTTCAGATATATGCTAGCATTAGCTTTCATCGGCAAAGCAGCATCCCTCCTTTTCTTTTTCCTGGCTTGGTGGACTTATATTCCTCCAGGAAGCAGAAGAGTTGCACAAAATTCGCGGGAAGAGCCCACAACGACATTTGTGTTAAACGACACTCAGCACGAAGCGCCAATCACACCAGCAACAATAAATCCTATAATTGATCCGTAGAGAAAAATCTAGCATTCTAATTATGTTATCTTAAAAATATCACGAATAATCACTATTTAATAAGAACTTTTAATGTTTGCCAAACTTACCAAAAGAAATAATCGAAGAAATGAATTTCAAAGAAACTTCCATGTACACTCTCACTCCACTGAAACTAGATGACACTATGTGCTAGTCTATTAAAATCGAGTATCGATACTGCGACATCTATCTTCTTCGATTTCGTTCGATTCGATAGGTACTATCTTAATGGAGGGATATTTAAAAAATATTTCAATATATAATTGTATATTTTTAATAATTTTATTTATAGTTTATTGTAAAATAACTATTAAAAAAATTAAAATGTAAATGAAATAGATAGATATTAATTTAATATTTTTATTCATTAATATAATCGTTTATAACAGAAGGAAATGATTTCATTTCTCGGATAATTTATAGGGAAATTTATAAAAAGCGTGATTATTTATTACTGTTGTAGTGTTAAGTAAAAAAATATTTGAAATAGAAATGACGTATATAAATATAAGTAATATAAAAATAAACTAATTTGTAAAATCAATGAAACTCGAATGAAGTTATTTATTTCGAGAGTTGTTGATTCGTAAATTTGTAGATATATTTATACGGTTTGCTAGTAAGTAGAATATTTCACATAAGAGCTATCACTGCCAAAATTATTGTAAAGAACGTAAGAACACTGTTTTTAATATCGTATCAATATTATATCTCGTTTTTTAACGAGAAAACTATAAATATCAATTATGAGATATAATGGGCAAGTGCACTTGTAGTCCTTTTGATATTTATTACTACTTCCCAATGGAATATTTCATTTATGAAATTATGATTTTATATGATATAAATGAGAATAATGGATAAACATTTGCTTAATATATTACTACGCTTTTTGTATTGTTCTATAAAAATTAATAATTGCAGTTAATTATTGTATCAAAAAAGACTATTACGATTATATAGAAATATAGAACAGTACAATATTGTCCTATATTATATGATCTAAATGTAATTTCAATTTGTATGACATCCTGTAATTGTATTCTTAATATTAACTGATTGTCAATTAAATTCAAAAAATGTATTTATCACAAAGGATAAGTCACATAGTCGATGTTTAAGATAAAAAAAGAAATTATTCTACATGTTCATCTTATTTATGCAATATATAATTGTTATATGCGACCAGCTAAACTATTGTAGCACAGAAATTCTATTGAAAAACATTGTTTTTTCAATAGAATATCATAGAATTGATACCATATTTGTATAATGTTATTGCTTGTATAAAGACGATTATCTATTATCTAAAAAAGTAAAAAAAATAGATAAATCTCTATTGTGAATTGATATTTATAATAATATTTATAATTATAGATATACATAGTTGCAAGTTTTGGTATCAATCCTAGCATATCCCATTCACAAGTTGAATAAAAACTATATTACTTTGGAAAATTTTATATATTAAAATTTGATATGTCATATTTAACAAAATGTTTTTTCAGGTTATAATGCATAAGATAAAAAATGAAAATGGGAAAAAACTATATATTATTTTGATATTATAATTAATTGAATTACCAAAACTATTAATATCTATTTAAAAATTATGAATGTCTGATCGTACAAATTTTATCATTCGATTATAAAAGAATTTTGAAACATTTAAATGTTAAAAAATTATACATTTCTTATGAACATTTGTCACAATAAAAATGCGGCGATCAAAATAGAAATGCTTGAAATATCTGTGCAAATAAAATAAATGGCCGTATGAAATATCATTTATATTGATTTGATATGAAAAATTTTGTGCATTTTATAATTGTAATTATTTTTGTTATAAAATATTGATATGTTAAACACGTGTATTATACGTGTCGCTAATAAAAAATTAGTGAAATATGTTAATTATTCTGGTTTTTCTTATCTTTTCCATCTATCTATGATTATAGAAATATCATAAAATCAATAATAATAATATTTACGTCAAAACTTGTTCATATGCATAAAATACAACTACTACTAACTATTTCTGTATTACTTACATGTTCATGCAATATGATTGTCAGATAAAAATGACTACATTATAATTTATGTAATAAATATGTTGAATAACTTTTGATATTCAAAGCCATATTTTTTTTTATTATAAAGAATATTACCTTTATTTTTTACTTTATTTAATCGTTTAATTAAAGTTAGCACAATTTAATCACAGATGAGTAGTTTTTAGTTTACAGGTTATGTACAATACATACAGATTAAATGTAGAATTATATTCAACTGCAGTTACATGAGTGATCACCTTTAGATACAATCGCAAACGTATTTATCGACTGTTAGATTATGATATATGTACTATAATTACATATAATGAGATTAGAATTAGAATAATCAATTATTAAATAAAAAAAATTGCACTCTATTAACGATTTATATGTTGTATATGTATATTGTCATATGCATTTATTATTATATCATATATAATATTATTAATAATATTATTACATCATATATAAATATAAAACATTATATAATATAATTCTTTGTTATACATAATAATAATTAATATAGATTTATTTTATATAATTATCTTATTATGCGATATAAAAAAAAATATTATGAAACTGTTAATCAGCTGGCCTCTTGGTCTAGGGGTATGATTCCTGCTTTGGGTGCAGGAGGTCCCGGGTTCAAATCCCGGAGGGGCCCGATTTTTTTTATATTAAAATTTATACTTTTGATAATATTTACATTTAAATAAATAATCATAATATATACGTATATATGTATTTTTTTTATATTTAAATATATATATAAAATCGTAAAAATGATATATATAAAATTTAATAATAAAAAATTATTTTTAATAGTAAAAATATAAAGAATATACATATTTTTAATTACATAAGTAAAATTTAAATTAAAATAAAAATATTTCTTTTTTTTTTTAATTATTTCTTCATTAAAATATAAAAAATATACATATTTTTAATTATACAAGTTAGTTTTAAATTAAAAATGTACAAAATAAAATTCTTTTTATTTTTCGTCATTTTAACTATTAAATATTAACTATTAAATTTATGTTTTAGGAACATTATTAGCAAGCATGAATTCCAGATTTGAATTAACAACTTTAAATTGCGCGCGATATATTTTCCTACTCCCAAGAAAGTCAAGATGGCGGCAACGCCAATGCGCATGCACCAGTTCCTGAATGGTCGGGCAAAAACACAGCTGGTCTATGATCTCCGAAGCAAGCTGACGGTTGAACGCTATCAATGTGATTTTCGTGAAATTCTTACCGATCTACCGGTCAGATCGTGAGGTCAAGGCAGGCGTGCGTGAAAATTTGTTCAGTGCTCGATTTGTAGTGTTAGTGAGTGTGTTTAGATGTATGCAAAACTTGTTAATCGCGGTGTCACCACGAGGATTTTTCACTGCCCTGGATACAAAGGAGTTTCGTGAGGTGCTTCGAGCGTCCTTTCGGTAAGTTTACAATTTCTACTTGAGAATTTGTCGCATCGCGATTTTCTTCATCGCATGTGCTATCGGATTTTCAATCAATTCGCAGAGTCAAGTGACCTTTTTCAATCTATCAAACGTCTATATCGCGTGTCTACATAATTTTCTTTGATTTTACTTTTTATAATAACAATTTCTATAAGAAATCGAGCTAAAAAATACGAAATTTGTCGTATATTTCGTAAAATAAATTCTAAAAAAAATTCCCAGTCGAAACGATATTTCAAATAACGAAAAGAATACGGCATACAGCATCTTTAGAAATAGGTCAGAATAAAGTTTTTGTAATCTAATCGTGAGATTCTGAACAGGTATCGCCTGTTGAGAAAGAGAAAGATTTTTATCGTGAGTTATCTCTTTGCATATGGGACTTTTGAAAATGAGCTGTCTTTGTTATCTTGTTTGCCGAGAATTATACTTTTCCATTCAATTTTTTGTTTATTACAGAGCGCGTTCGTGTACATTGTGGTTGTTTACTATTTACAAACAGGAAATTTCCAACATTGTGAAGAATATTCTATGCATAACAGGATTCTTATGGTAAAAGATACATCTTGAAATTTTAATCTTCCTTTTGTCGTCCGGTTGCCGTCGCTCGTTTTCGCTGATGTTTACGTGTAAACACAGCTGTGCCATAATTCCATGGATAACGTTATCGTGCCACCGTAGTATCTATATATCGAGGTCTTGAACCTCGGCGTCTGCACAACTATTTTTATATCCTCGATGTGCTCTGTCACCGCGCGCGCGGCATCGGACGAGAGAGGAATCCGGCTGTTGTCGAGCGGTGCACAACCGTGCTACAGTCCTTAGGACTTTGACCTTGTCCTATGCAAAATGATACCTCTCGTTCATCGTGCTTTTAATCGGTATGCCAATTAACGAATCGACAATTCTACGGCGACAAGTAACAAGCCGATTATTCGCTAATCACTGTTAAAAATACACGATAAATTTTCCGTTTATTTCTTTATCCTTCTCATTTCATCTCACTCGATTCGATGTCTTTCATTGTATTTATCTCTTTCTTTTTCACCCTTATTGTTTCATGGTATCGATGCCATTATCGTTGAACTTCGGACGTTTACTTTCGATCTCCAGTTTTTCAGCATCGATCGGTGCATACACGTATTACACAGCACGGCAGAATGGCTTAGCTACTGATATCCATGTATATAGGGTGTTTCAGAATAAATGCGTGAAATATTCATTATTATTCATAAACTTGTTTTGAATATTAATCATAAATTATATTTTTGATGCTTTTAAATTATTTTAATGTAATATAGATAAATAATATATACGTAATGTAGTATAAATAAATAAAAATTCAATATTGTTTCGAAATTATATATCATAGTAAATAAATCGATTCAAACTAATAACAATATATCGTTTGGTAGCATATAATCAGCAATACGAAAAACAAAGAGCAACTCATTCTTTTCAAAATGTTAATTTCGACTCACCAGCTATTACCATTCGATAGCCAGACTCTTTTATTTGTAATTAATCGGCTGTTAAAAATGCACACCCGTTCATGATACAAGATTGTGGTGTCAGATTTTGTGCATATTTCGCTCGATATTCAATTTTGTATATTCGTGAATTTTCTTGATTAAATTTCAATTGATAAATTTAGCTACGATAGTATGCGCATCAAAGTCTGATGGAGAATGCAAAAGAAACTGTCAAAAGTTTTTCCGCTTTCGTCAATAGGATATTTTTACCGGTTCCTTTTCAATCAGTTTTATTTATTTCGTTTCTATTTTTCAATCTATTTTTTCTATTGATAGAAATCTTTTTTAAATGAAATATTAATGTAATCTCAAATGGCAATGATAATAAAAAAAATTTAACGAACCTGTTATAATTTCAGAAGTAAAAAACCAATTACTGTATTTCAATTATTGCATTCTGCACTATAATTAACCCAAAAAATTTGACCACTTATTATAGGGCATAGTATTAGAAATAAATCTATTGATCAACCAATCAACGATCGCGAAGTTAAGTTAGAAAGGTATAAAAAGGTTCGTTTTTAATTTGCAACAGATTATTTATCCCATTAGAAATGGTATTTCATTTGAACGAGTTTGCAAAAAGCGGAAGGAAAGAGGCGCTAAAACGACTAAAACGAGCACGTAAAAGTAGAAGCGAAAGGAAAAAATTTTTTCGATTTTCGTTCACTGAACGAAAAATTATACGTATTTAATGTACGGATATAAATTTTTGATGAGCGGGTCGGATCGTAAATTCTTCTGTTCCCCGTATATTTTTTACAAGAACCTTGTTGTATCCTTAAATTTCGAGAGTCAGACATTTTGTGCGAAAATATATCGTCCACGAGAGGATTCATTCTAACCTAACGAAACTTCACGAATTTAGTAGTGACCTCTATAAATTCCATGGTATTCGTGCATCACGGAAAGATGTCGCTCTGACTTGCGCGATTTAGTAATTCGCCGGTCGAAAGATTCGATCTGTGGACATATTGAAATCGAAAGTCACGTAAGCACGCGTGTTTCGTTAGTAGTGAGCTTGATCCTTTTTTACGGCTCTTGCATTTCTTCTTCGCGGTTACGTAATAGTTTTTTGTGCCTGTAATCATCATATTAGAGTGCAATATCTTTAAAATAGAATGGAAGAAATGACCGAATTAATTTAAGCGTGGTCTGTCTGGTCAGCGTCAAGCGAACTGACTTCAAATGCCGCCATTACTTGTCATTGTAACGCGATGACTTTCACAATGGCCCGTTATATTTGAAAGACTTCAATATTGTTATTCTTTTTTTTCACGTTGAAAAATGGATTTGTCAATTTTTCAGGTAGGATAAATTAGGAGGATTTTTATATTTTATTACTTGTATTTGAATAGGTATATATATATATATATATATATATATATATTTTATATATATAT